GTTAGCATGGACACTGTTAGGATGGGCGCTGTTAGCATGGACATTGTTAGGACGGGCGCTGTTAGCATGGACACTGTTAGCATGGACACTGTTACGATGGGCGTTGTTAGCATGGACACTGTTAGGATGGGCGCTGTTAGCATGGACACTGTTAGGATGGGCGCTGTTAGCATGGACATTGTTAGGACGGGCGCTGTTAGCATGGACACTGTTAGCATGGACACTGTTACGATGGGCGTTGTTAGCATGGACACTGTTAGGATGGGCGCTGTTAGCATGGACACTGTTAGGATGGGCGCTGTTAGCATGGACATTGTTAGGACGGGCGCTGTTAGCATGGACACTGTTAGCATGGACACTGTTACGATGGGCGTTGTTAGCATGGACACTGTTAGGATGGGCGCTGTTAGCATGGACGCTGTTAGGATGGGCGCTGTTAGCATAGACACTGTTAGCATGGACGCTGTTACGATGGGCGTTGTTAGCATGGACACTGTTAGGATGGGCGCTGTTAGGATGGATGCTGTTAGGACGGGCGCTGTTAGCATGGACATTGTTAGCATGGACGCTGTTAGCATGGACACTGTTAGCATGGACGCTGTTAGCATGGACACTGTTAGCATGGACGCTGTTAGGACGGGCGCTGTTAGCATGGACATTGTTAGGATGGACAATTTGCACATTGCACATCTACATTTTATTTTATGATGATGACGATGATTATTATTATTTTTATACTGTTACTATTTACTATTTTACTTATTCATTTATTTTATATACTGCCTGTGTGAATGATTGGTGTGCAAGTCTGCCCGCCCTGAGATGGGTTGGCGTCCCATCCTAGGTTTCCTTGTGCCTGTAGCCTCGGGGATAGGATCCGGACTCCCCACCACCCTGAATAGGACAAGCAGTTACAGAAAATGGATGGATGGATGGACAATCACTGACTATAAAGAGCTCTCAAGGAGACTCATTTCATTGCCTGCATCTACTGCTGTTTGCAGTGCTGTTGTACATTTGATTTGATCTGTGCATGTTCTGCATGTGTGTTTTTTTAAACCTTTGTCGTCACGGTGACTGGCCTGTGTTAGGCCACGTTCGATTGGCTTGATCTCACTCTCTGCCTGGGCCACCTCTAGGCAACCCTGGATTAAAGTGCCAGCCTCCCTGGTATGTGGCTTCTCCCCCATGTCCCCGTGGTGCCCTAAGAGAGACACATTTTGCATCCCCTTTACATTTCTGCTGCCTCCCTGCCACGCGATTGTAAGTTACAGCAGCAATTCACCATTTCCATATATCTCGTTAGCTCCAATTGTTACAGTCTGCTCTGTCGCCTCCAATGCCATAACTCCTTTCCTACTGACACGGGTGACAATACAGCCCCAACTTGTAAAATAATCCAGACACATAACATAATGTCTTCAAGTTGTATTTCCTGATGGCAAAATGCTTTACTTCTTGGAAAGATTAGGCGGCTGAAGTGCTGTAATTTGGCATTTCCACTCAAAACGAATGCAGTCATTTTTTTACACACTCACCCTGACTTGGGACGGCTCCTGCGCAGTGCCCCATGCAGTCAAGACACACTCAAACACACACTGTGCTCTGGGCGGCTGCTTGCAGTGGAGGACAGCTCCTTACAGTCGTTTCATGCAGTTCTTCACGAGCATAGGTTGAACAACTTAACTGGAGGAAAGATTTATTACCGTCTAAATAAAGCATTCATTAGCTAATCTCAGTTAAACTTCTGAGCTATAGTTACTAGCCATCCCCTACAGGATTAGCTGTACACCTTTGGACTTAATCCTATGCCCAGATAATATTCATATTACCCCAGTCTTATCCTCCCTACACTGGTTCCCGGTAAAATACAGGATCCAATTCAAAATTTTGGTACTCACCTACATTGCAAAAAAAATGGCCTTTCAAATTTAAGATAAACAGTTTCTGTCTTGAGACAAGAGGGCCTAAAACCAGCAAAATTATCTGCTAGTGCAGTGAGAAAATTCTACTTGGTAATATTTCCTAAAATAAGACAATATGCCTAAATGTAAGCAAATTAATCTTATTCAAAAGATGTGTTGTTAGTCAGTTTATTAATGAATTTTGTCCAGAAAATTATATTTACTTAGATTGTCATTTTTGCAGTGTACAGAGCCTTCCACGGTCAAGCCCCCCCATCACCGACCTTCTGCGACATCATGCCCGCAGCTGTACTCTGAGATCTACTCAGTCGCGTTTCCTTTCAGTTCCTCGGACCAGATTAAAGACCAGCGGGGCTTGTGCATTTCGGTCTGTGGCCCCAAGGTTATGGAACAGTCTTTCAGTGTCACCATCATCTGCTCCATCAGCTGAGATATTTAAGAAGCAGCTCAAAACATTTCTGTTTAAGCAGGCTTTTGGATAATCCCACTGTGGTTTTATTTAAAATATATGTTGCTTGTATTTCTGCGTTTTACAGTATACGCATATTGCTCAGTGCCTTGTGACCTTTGTCTGTGAAAGACACTTCATAAATAAAATTTACTTACTTACAATACTGAGCTTCCTTGAAAGGTCAGACGGAAGCAGAATACCTCATTTTTTACTGTCTTTATTTTCCAAATCAGACATCTTTCATCCAATAGACCATGCGTAATGACGGTGGTGTTTAATTGTGATTAGCACAAGCGTACAGGTCCATGGAAACTGGTGGGTCTTCACATGTCTGATCTTGTTCACCCATGACAATGAACTTTGGGGTCAGAGCGCAGGGTTAGCCTTGTGCCCCTGAAACTGAAGCTTTTTGGGTTAAGGGCCTTGCTGTAGGGCCCAGCAATGATAAGATTATTCTGCTGGCCATGGGATTTGAACCAATGACCACCGACATTCCAGCACTCTTCTTCATGCGTTACTTAATATTTTAATAATCATTGTATGATAGGTTATTTGTACAAGAAGCATCATCATTTGTGTCCTGCGATGCACTGGCGTGCCGCCCTTGATTCCCCTTCCCTGTGTCTCCTGGGGTCGGCTACAAGCTCACTTTGACCTCTGGGTAACCATTTGCACTATCAGCTGAAATATTCATATGTCGCTCGCCAGCTGCTGTAGGAGTGATAGCACTAGTGATTTACTGCACTAACGACCATAAGGTTGCCAGTTTAATTCCTTGAGGTCTTAGCTGCTATGCAGTTTTAAAAGCCACTTACCCATAATTCTTTGGCTGAAATTTTGGATGAGAGTCTCTGATAAAAGCTGCAAGGAACAGAAATATATCAGTCATCTGCAAGTCGTGAATTCTGCCCAGACAGCAGTGTCATAATTGTAACGTTTATATAAAAAAGACACAGGGTGAAACTGTAACATCTGGCTGTCATGACTTGTATGTGGAATCCACTGACGTCATTCCACCTCATTCGCAATTAACATCTGCTCAAGAAATCGTGTTTCCTCCCCCCCCCCCCCCTTGTAAATCTGCCCTCGTTAGGAGGGTTTCATTTTATTTGGGGGTCAGCGGTGAAAATGGCGTAATTAAAGCATGCGGCGATCGTAAAAGTGTGGCCCGTGCATAGTGTCAAGTCAGCACAGCTCTGCTGCGCGTAACTGGTCTTACTTTGGGAATCGTGGTTAATCGCGACGTTTGCGCGTTCAGCAGGCCTGCAGGGATGCTGTCGCCCCAATCCGACTGTCCTCCTGCCAAGTACCTCGGTTTTCCTGAGTCACGCTGATGGAGATGTATGACTTGCAGAATATAATTAAATGGTTCGAAATCATTAAAAGGGGGGAATTTTCATTAGCTGGCATCAAAAAAGTAGCTGGCTTCTTCTAATTGCTTTCTCGTTATTAAGTGTATTTGATTAACGGGAAAAAATTGATGGTGCCTAATTCAGGAGAAATAAAATGGATTTTCCTCCTTGGAAGACATGAGTGCGCAGCCTTAAGACAACCACAACCCAGTAAGGTATGCAGGACGAAGTCAGTGACAGTGTTTTGGTACCAGTCCACATCTCCCCGGCTTCCACACTGGCTTACAGAAAGGGACCAATAAAACTGGGACTTCAGGCTTAGATCTGTTTCACCAGCTGGTTGATCATCACCAGAACATGCTTTCATTAATCAATGAGGCTGATTCACTTTGATCACAGTTATTACTAACCACTGGTCTGGGAGTCATCTCCATTTTCATGTAGTAATGAGAACAAATAGGGATCCAACCTTTCCTCATTGGACATTTTATGCACAGTCATGGTGTCAGCGAACTCCTTACTGTTATACTCTTGTAATTCCTGTACACCGACAGAGCACAGTTAGTAGCCAGTAAAACGCCACTAATCAGCCTCACCACAACACCTACGAAAAGAACATGAGCGATAGGAGCAGAAAGGCTCTGAAACCCATAGCCGGTGGGACTGGCGTACCGCGTCTGGCACTGACGGTTTTCACCAATCCATTGGTTGCGTCATTAAACCATTTTGGATTAAACCAATCGGTGCCTGGCACTCTGCAGCAAACCCCGCCCACAGTGGGTTCTGAGACCACTTTTGTTCCATCATGAAAGAAAAGTTATAATTTAGATGTTAGTTTTGAATGCAGGTGTTTACTATATAACCTTTTCCTTAAAGCTTTGTTAGAAGATAAAAAATAAGGCATTCTTAAGAATCATCTTTCTTTGACCTGATCCATAAACATGCACAGTAAAATATGAGCCTTTCATTTGTTACCTGATTGATCTTCTTGGTTTGGGCAGAGGAGCAGAGTCCCTCAGATTCCCGAAGCAGCTGCTTTAGCTCTCAGTCCTCTCCCTGCTCTGAGTCCTATTTACACTCTATTTATTGTTATGGTTTTTGCCTAAGCATTTCAGTTAACAGATTCCTCTCGCGCCGCAGGAACTCATGCCTTGTTTGAGTCGGCATGAAATCGCCATGCAGTCTCAGGGGAACGGGCTCGCCTCCTCGTACCGTGGGCCAGCACCCGATTTGCCACTGGGCTTAGAGCTGAGAACATTTCGTTCATGAGGTTTGAGTTTTGAAAAATAATTTCCGTTGCCAGCCAAGCTGTGTTTTACAAGTCGAAACCCCACTGCAATTAAGCCTTAGTGGTTTGGTTTGGCCGTGCGGGTTTCCATGTGCGCTGGCATGGCGACCGGCTTGCGGCTTCCCACGATTAAGCAGGAAAACAAACAAACACAACACGCATGTAACCCCAAGTCCTGCGAAGCCGGGGGGCTGCCATAGCTTGGCAGGCACTCCTATCTTCCACACCACCTACCAGCAATGGTACGGCCCGATGCTTTCAGATAAAAATCGGAAAAATAGTTCCACTAGGTGCTGAGGAGACCAAAAGGCCGATGCCGGAAAGAAAGTTGCTTTTGCTGTAGGAGAGATGCAAAAGGGAAGGTCTGGTTCTTCGGTTAATATAGTAAAAGTTTTGAAGATGGAGCTTAATGGTGCATTCCATTTGAACAGGGAAGTTTGAACTGGGAATTTCCAAGTTCCTTGTCAGAAATTTCAACTGGAACACCCCTGAAGTCGGACTTCTGACTCGGAAAGTCGGAAGAACCTCTGCAACCCCAATTCAAGATGGTTACTCTGTGCACCAACAGCAAAAAGCTGTAGTAATTAATGATTAACTGTTAATTTCTTCTGTCTTATATGCATAGTACTGTTCAACTGCTATCTGTGGACAAGTTGATATCGCATAATGCGTTATTATCAACTGGTATTGCTAACAGTGAGTTTACAGTGAACCTGGCTAGAACTACTATTGCTAATAGCTAACCGAGCTGGATGGTCTGGAGTGCAGTAAACTGAGGTGTGACATCATTCTCAGCTCCAACTTCAGATGTAATTGGAACACAGCATAAGTCACAAAGAATATCAGAACACACACCTCACAGCTGACCTCCAGCCAAAACACTCGCTTAGGACTAACTCTAACCCTATCCTCCGCTTCCACTTCCTTCAGAATCAAAGCATCTTTTACTATCAGCACCAGACATATGATCAATGTAGTTATATGTAGAGAGGAAATATCGCTCTCGCTGGTCATAGTGCAAATGAGGAAAAAAATAAATAGCCTAGAAAATAATAAATAGCCATAAAAAATATATTAACATATTTTAAGACATGGACATTAAGACAGAGAGAAAGACATCGAGTTAATCACCTGACTGGTGGGGAAAGATGGTCCAAATATGGTTCAGTAGTTTGGCATGGAAGCAGACTGTACAAACAATAAATAGCTTGTGAGTCCAGAGCTCATAGTTCTGTTAACAAACCTAGTCTTAGGTTGGAAAATTGCTCCTCATTCCCCTTATGAATCCAGCACTTGACCCCATCTTAACCCAGTACCCCAATGCTGAGCCCAGTAATCTGTTGTCCATCCCGGGGCTTGGAAGGTCTATCAGATCCCAGAAAGGCTGATACAGCAGTTGCCCAATCCATCGCACTTTGAGTGACCAATGAATTTGATCAAAGGCAGCAGATAATATAAAGGTTGAGGAGTTAGAGACCAAAAGGTTCTCCGTCCAAATGATAGATTGCCTCAGTAAAACACTGCTATAGAATAAAAGGTAAATACTTAGATAAGGGTGCTAAGACACTAATGTAATAGTATATAATGATAATATTTTAAGATTAAGCAATGGAGCTTGCAGTAAATGACCTAGCCAGAGAAGGTCAATGGTGTGAAATGTCTCCCCATGACTGTGCCTCACAATAAACCATTTACAGACAATGACTGTACTTCTTGTCTTCCAATTTAGCATACAAAAAAAAACCTTTCTCTTTAATGAGCAGTGGGGTCAAGCAGAATTTAATATGAATCCAGTTTATGAAATGCATCTGAAGAATTTCTGTAATTGATATTCAGTATGCCTCTGCAGTCTCGGGATAACACCACAAAGAGTAAACACTCGCATATCTCGGTTCATAACGGGAAATAAAATCTAATTTACGCACTGTCTGCAGGACACACCCACTTTTAATAACTACTTAGACTTTGCCCAGCAAACCTCATTTGCAAAATAGGAAATTAGCCAATTATCCCCGCATTTAATGAGCAACATATTTTCTAAAATCTCAGTGAACACTTATTGCCTCTCTGTAATGTTGGCAGCCTCTTTTTTGCTCTGTGTTTTATTATTTCTTATAGGCTAATTAAGAGATTAGCCACTATAGAAATTCCTCTGGGTTCCCAATAGGTTTAAAACCTCCTCTTTTGTGTGCTTCCAAATTACTTCTCAGTGTTTTTCCTCGATATCGAACCACCGTTCCATTGCAGCTACAGCTATTTTCCCGGTGTCTCTGCTAACCGGCCAGTGGGCAGCGCACAGGGAGAAAAAAGTCTCAGCTTTAAACTGTTGCGAGATTTGCGAGGCATGTTTTGAATTTCGTAGAGTGCAGGTCTAGTTTATTTATCGTGATTTCTCTTTGACCGGGACTGGGAAGCAGTACTGAGAAATGTCGGGGTCTGCTGTCCTAAACGGGATGGTTTCCATTAGCGGGGTGCGCTAAAAATGCTGACGATTCGAAAAACCGAGAGTCAAGTCCTGTGGCGTGGGACTGTGTCTCGCTTATTCTTCGGAAAACAATTCCTGCTTGTGACCTGGTTAGAATTCCGTATCATTTTCTGCATTTTTTCACACTTTCGGAAAGATCAGTCAATAAAAGCAGAGGTGAACTGAATGCTACAGTTTCTGGAATTTCTGTTTTGTCCTTTGTTTTTATTACATATACTGACCTGTGTATTGCTACAGGCTAAAATCTTTGCTCACTGATCAATGTCCCTCTAAACTGGGCCACCATTCAACAGCTCCGGTTGGTTTAATGCTGCGTTTCCAGTTTGCCCATGCATGCTAGGTAAAGTATCAGCAACCAAAGTATTGGCGTAAGGTCACCACCGAAATAGTGGAGTTTACCCTTTAATCATTCTGTCACTTTCTCAAGTTCCAGGTGTGAAACAAACAGGCTGTAGTCCAGTCAGCTCACTATGTGAACTCATTCATGGTTTTATATCATATGGAGGTTAGGTCACTAAGGTGACCGTTTTGTTGGATTTTGGTAGAATTATTACTTTAGGTCTTTAAAGCATAGGCACTCAAATGCCATACACCTTGGGTCCTGTCTACCATTTAACTACCTTTAAACCCCTCTGACCAAACAGATCACTGCCGATGTGCATGCCAACCGCAATAGCAGAAACATTGATAATAACCTTCCATAAAATCACACAGCAAACGTTTTGGTGCCAGCGACTTTATCCCCAATAAATTCATCAACATTCTTCAGCCGTATGTGCGTGTTCACATTATTGGCTTTGTAGGAACATGGATAACTCTTGTCCAGCAGGACTGAATAGATTTTGTCTGTTTTTTGATCTCAGATGGACTTCACATGTCTGCCATTTGTGCTGTGACTCACATAACAGTGCCCCTGAGATTACTTTTATCCTGAGACAATTTAGTCTCTGCGCATAATTTCTGCATATTGCATTGTTTCCCAACATGTTAAATTGCGATAATAGTAGGGTCTCACAAAAATCCAAGCTGCGTCTTCAGCATTTTCTATTCCATTCCTTTGGTCCGTCCGCTCCGTTTATTTTGTCCTTTCTCCTGCGTGGATATTGCCCTTCAGAAGCAGGATATTGCCCTTCAAAAGCAGGATATTGCCCTTCCGCTTTTGCATGTGATCCTGGTTATTTAAGCAGAGCTTCTTAGCGCGTGGATACTTTGCATTGTAGGAAATTTCTACCCTAAACCCACTGGGCTTGGGCAGATCAGCAGTACTTCCTCTGCTTTATCTTCTGTTTTGCAGGGCCTCGTTCATATGAGGCGAGTTTAAACTGTTCATGCGATAGCTCCACTTTACAGAGCTTCAGGGTGGCTATTGTTGTCTTCACGCGTTCCTCTGCATGACCTTCTAAAGGCAGACATGCAGATATTTCACAGGGCGTCTAACATATTAGGCCTCTGGCCTGGTTTTGAACTATTTTCAGTAGCCCAGGTGGGCCCTGTACCATTTATATTGATTGGCAATTGTCTCTTTTTTTGCACAGATTGCAAAATGAACAAATGTAAAAGGAATAAGGTGAGAAGAAACGTGAAATACAAGACAACAGAAATAGCAAACTGTGCAACGCAAGCAGCAGACGGTTTAAAGGGGCCAGTTTATTGTCGTCGTGGCAGTCTGTCCCAAAGACAAATGCTTATGACAGGCTGTGAATCCCTCATTTTTGCCCAAATGTGGCCTTATTTTGTTGTCAGTTGCTGTTTTCAGCTTTTATTGCTGTAGGATTAGCAGTGTGTTCTGCGGGGTTTGGACACTCTCTCCCTCTCGCATAATGACTGTGTGTAAGTAGGGCTCCTACTCATACAGAAACCCTAAAACACACTAGCTGTTTCTAACCACGTTTCACCCAAAAAGCACATGCAGTTCTCCAGCTCATTCCAATACATTTGTTTCTCATTTGCCCCGACAGTATCACAGCGCAATCGTCAGACTTCATTACAGTGTTTTTAAATGCAAACCCCCGCAGATTGGAGATATCTGGAGCTCCCTGGATGATTTATTGTAAGCGCATGTGCCCGGGTATTGATACATTCCGCCCTGAAAAACAGACTTGTCAATAGTAATTCGATAGACTGACAACAGCAAGGAATTAGGAGAATTGTCTGTAAGTAATTATTTGCAAGAAGCTTACAATTTGGCATGCGGAGATGGCGAATATTGCAGCGTTACACAAAATGAGCAACATATTCGATGATGGTGCTCTTGCCTCGACCCAATCATTATGTCAAGAAGAAAAACAAAGACATATGTTCTGTTGATGTATTTGACACAAATACATGTAGTAGATGACCATGAGAGAGCCCAAATTTAGACCCA